ACACCTTTCGTGCCATGACCACACAATATTAAAAAGCATAACAATATAAATGAAATGGCACAGCATCACCCTTCGTGCTTTACACCCGTCCTCACATGATAATGTATATGAAATGACACGCCCTTCGTGCTTTACACTCTTCCTCACATGATAATGTATATGAAATGGCACGGCATCACCCTTCGTGCTTTACCCTCTTCCTCACATAATAATGAATATAAAATGGCACGGCATCACCCTTCGTGCTTTACACTCTTCCTCACCTGATAATGTATATGAAATGGCACGGCATCACCCTTCGTGATTTACACTCTTGCTCACATGATAATGTATATGAAATGGCACGACATCACCCTTCGTGCTTTACACTCTTCCTTACCAAGCATATGATATCAATAAAGTGAAAAGGCAGGAAGTATAAATAACATTGAGGAAAGTGTTTAGACGAATATTCCAACAAATTCTAAATCACGGAATTTCTAAGCCAACAATGATTCAATAAGCCCTCAAGGGCAGTATAACTCAAGTACTTCCACGAATATCACAATTTATCATCAACACAAGTATAGAATCCAGCATCTCAAAATATCGACCGTAGCAATGTAGTAATGCTTACGCATAGAGATGACCAAATTAGACACATCAATGTATTCTCAGAATTCTATCAAATTCGATCAACTTATATTAGACTAAGTCTTGATTACTAACATTTTATACTACGTTCTTAATATCGGTAAATCAAGTGAAGCATGAAACAAGGGAGTTACGTAATTCTACAAGACATAATTAGAGCACAATCTACCCCCGAGCATGATTAACCCCGGCACATACATATACGCTCGTCACCTTATATATGTATCACCCACGCATGTAGCAAACAATGACAAATAGGAGGAAAAATTTCCTCAACAAAGTTAGGGAAAACACTTACCTCGATTCAGCTAACTCAACACTCAACTTAGCCTTTTCCTCTACAAATTTGCCTCCGCTAGACTCAATCTAGCCAATGACGACTTGAATACATCACACAATGCAAGAGAAAACAACTTCAATTAACAAAAGCTATGATTTTTATTCAATTTCTAAAAAGTCAACAAAAGTCAAACCTCGGGCCCGCCCGGTCAAAACCCAGGTCCAAGGGTAGGTGTTGACTATCCATAGCCTCACGAGTCCAAATATGTGTTTTGTTTTCAAATTCGAGTCCTATTCGACTCTCAAATCCTAAATTTTTATTTTTCAAAACTTTGACAAAATTCCCAAATTTTTCCATAGATTTCTCATGAATTAGATGTTAAATTTTGTATAAAATCATGAAATATAGTTGGAAATTGATTAAAGATACTTACCCAATGTTTTGGTATGAATATCCCATCTCAAAATCGCCTCACCTCGAAGCTAGGGTTCAAAAATATGAAAATGAAGCAAAAACTCAAGATTCTCAACACTTAACAGGCTGCAGATGTTGCATTTGCGAACAAAACTTCGCATTTGCGAATGAACAGTGTTCTCGCAATTGCCATAAATGGTTGGCAATTGCGGATGAATAGTATTTTCGCAATTGTCATAAAAGGTTCGCAATTGCGAATGAACAGTGTCGCACCAGAAACCAGCAAAACCCAAACTTCTCCGAAATGATCCGAAACCACACCGAAACTCATCCGGAACCTCCCGGCCACAAACCATATATGAATTTCAATCATAAAACACGCTACGGACCTGCTCGCGCACTCAAAACACTGAAAAGAGGTCGTCATAACCTGATATTGACCATGGTCAAACTCCCAAATTTCTTAACTTTACTAGTCTCTCAACCACTGATCCAAAAATACACCCAAGCCCCTCGGGACTCCAAACCAACAGGGCACACCAGTCTACAAATATCATACGAACTAGCTCACGCGATCAAATTGCCAAAATAACACCTAGAACTACGAATTGGACACCAAATGAAATGAATTTTTCAAGAAAGCTATGAAATCTCTATTTTTACCACCAGATGTCCGAATCATGTCAAACCGACTCCGTTTCCCACCAAATTTCACAGATAAGTAGAAAATATTATATTGGCCCTGTATCGGGCTCCGAAACTAAGATACAGACCCGGTATCAACAATGCCAAACATTCAATCAATTTTTAAAAACATTAGATTTTTCGAACTTTTAATTTTTAATAAAAATTCATAACTGAAGCTAGGGACCTCGGAATTCGATTCCGGGCATACGCCCAGATCCCATATTTCAATAAGGACCCACCGAGACCGTCAAAATACGGGTCAGGGTCCATTTACTCAAAACATTGACCAAAATCAACTAAAATTAACTTTTTAGGCAAAAATTCTTATTTTTATCAGTTTTTTTAGCAAATAAGCCTCCCGGGTCAATACCCGGATTGCGCACGCAAATCAAGGAAGGCTAGAATGAGGCTCTAAAGGCTTCAAAATACAGAGTTTGGTTCTAAATCACCGAGCGAAGTGTAAATACTCAAATCGACAAGTCGGGTCGTTACATCCTCCACTACTTAAACACACGTTCATCCTCGAACGTGCGTCGTTCCAAAGCTATCAAATCACGGTGTAACCTTACTATGCATAACCTGGGGGTGATCCCACTTCACCCTGTTCCACATAAGCCCGCCAACACAACACAATTAGAGATCCTTATTTCAACCTTGGTCCTGAAACCTTAGAACTCAATCTCTATCATCAAGAATTCGTTGCAAGACCTGAATCCCACATCTACATACTGTATAAGTCTAAACAAGCTGTATCAAGTCACAACCATAACCTAAGATGTAATCACATTATATACCCCATCACTTCGACACTCACAGTAGGAACTGCTGACCACCATTACTGCCCAAAACAAATCCAAAACAAATCGGGTGCCGGTAGCAAACCTCATATCGATTAGAACCTCTTTCAAAACCTTCATACCCTACCGATGATGAAAGAAACACGCATAACCGCTTAACCACTCATCTGATCAATAAGCCAAGAAACTCTTTCGCCCAACCAGGGCCATTGTCCACATCCTCAACAAAATATCGTGTTATTCTTCCAAACCTTCCTCATCCCAATACAATAGCGTAAATCTCAGGTCTAGAAACCTCATCTAAGTCAAGACGAGCAGCCACACCGACAAACATCAATAATAATCATATGGAGCCACACACAACCCAGTTTCGTACACTAACAAGTAATAATTCAGACATGACAAATAACAGTAAGAAAAATAAATAAGAAAACTACTAAGCAAGTTAAGCAGGGAGGGAAATTTTAGCATTTTACTATGAACTATTCTCAACAAGGTGGAAGCAAAATACACGAAATAGAAATAAGGAGCCACATTTCATCACTGTACCGTTGCGGCGTGCAACCCGATCCCATCATATCAATCCACATAAGGTACCCTTCGAGCCATAATACTCGGGCTCACTGATCACATGTGCGTCAACATCAAGCACAATAGAGTGCACAAAAATATAACATTTTTAGAGTCCAAATCTTCATTAAATGACTTCAAAGCTTGTAGACAACATTTTTAGACTAATTTTAATAAGTCTAAACAACACTCGCTCCAAAATTCCCAGAAAAATAATTTTTAAAATTTAAACTTATTTAAGTTTGCTCAACAGTGGTGGATTACCTAAAAATCTATTTTTTTACCACCCGAATGAATTTGACTAATGGTTGAATGATAATTATTAATTTAGAATTTGGGTTAGAAGCTTTTTTTTTTTTTCCAAAAAAAGAAAAAGAGTAGGGACTTTGAGAACTTATTTGGAGTTAGAACTTGAATGTTGGCCTATTTTGGGCTACAACTTTGCAAAGTTGTATATAGGCTACTCAGTTGCAATATGCGTATATGAGTTGTATTCGTATGTATTTCTCTCTTAGTTAAATTCTTAAGGGCAGGTTTGGAAAGTCACCCTGTAGTTGGATTTGGGTGTAATTAAGTGTTATTACACAGTTTGACATGTTTGTTGACCAAGTAGTCAACTTTGCAATTCTTAGTGGGGAACTGAAAATTGCTGATAACTACATGGTGTAATTACAAGGTTATTTTTGAATATCTTTTCTTTTCTTTTTAATTTACTCTTTATTTATATTCTTTTTTTTCTTTTTATTTATTATTTACTTTTTAATTTCAAATTTCAAATATTAATTTTTTTTATTTCCTTCTTTCTCATTTCGTAACATTTATTTAACGTGTTTCTACATAATTTCTCATATTTTGTTTCTATATTTTTTTTATTACGCTTAGCTATGTTATTGTTCTAATTTTTTTTATAGAACTATACCTGTGATCTTAGAAAGAATAAGTCATCTACAAACTTGACTTATAATGAGTGATGTCATTAAAGTTGAACTTTTTTATTGGATCAGGTTATATACAAACTTAACTTTGTTAAAATAATAGATTATTTTTTAATATTTAAATAATATTCATTTGCAATTTTTTTGGGTGATTCCATGTAGTTGCCCATTCTATACGTTTTTTGTTTTGTTTTCTTCATTTTGCACAATTATGTTATTATTCAAGTTTTGAAACTACTCATCCTAGTATTAGAAACGATGAATCATTAATAAGCTTAGCATATAACGAGTTATGTCATTAAAACAAAATCTAAATGAAAATATAGCTTTATGTTTTTTTCTTTTGAATTATATTTATTTAAATTATGTTGAAACTTATTTTAAGTTAAATTTTTTTTTTTGGATTTTAAATTTATGTTATATTTTCGCTTCCATTTACTTATTAATTCAGATTGCATGCCATTCATTTTTCAGTAAAAATTGATAAATTTATTTTTTCGTAAAATATTTGAATGATGTTATGGCGTTATATTTATAAGTATTAATCATTTTATCAAGGTACTTTTAGTTTTTATAATTGATTAAAGTAAAATATTATTAATTTGAAAAATACATCTATTAAAGTTTGTAATTGGTCAATTGGACCCAAGTATTAGTTCATTTAATTCCTTTGGATAGAATTAGCTAACACATCAGTACTCTCGCCCTCTCTTTTTTTTTTTTCTCCCTTCTTCATTTCTGCAAATCCGCCCCGGCTGAACTCAGCATATGGCTACACTGATGAATGATGAAATCCTTTATTTAGTCTGTGTTTCCTTTGTTTGACTGTCCTAAAGATAAGTATTGTTCTATTTCTTCTTCAGTCGGTCCCTTGCAATATTATTGGTTTTCAAGGTCAGAATAATTAAAGATGTGTTGAGGCCGTGGAATTTTGGTGATGACTCGACGGCTATGGAATCAAGGGATCTCTATTGGATTTAACAGATGGTGGTTCTGTGGTTGACCAATGGAGGAAGGCAGCAGAGTTGAAGGTCATTAGAGTTGTTTTATTTGCAGTGAAGTGGTGGTCGTTCGGCGGCTGTTTGACGGACTGGAGGTTATAGACGGTGAAATGGAAAAGATGGTGATTAAACAAAAATGTGAGTTTTTTAACCCAAAAAACAAAAAAAGTAAGATTATTATTGGGTAAGGGGAAACACTTTTATTGCAATATCAGCATTTTGTGTTCAATACATGCATTTCTTGATATTATTAGGGTTCAATAGGTATTAGTCCGAATTTATCCACACAACTCTTTTTTTTTTTTTTTTCCTTTTCAACCAATTAACTAAATCCATGACATCATCTTCTTCTTCTGATAAAGCTTCGCAGTTTCCTCGATGGAAGTACGATGTCTTTCTAAGTTTTAGAGGTGAAGACACCCGCAAAACATTTACAAGTCACTTGTATGAAGGTTTGAAAAACAGGGGAATACTCACCTTTCAAGATGGCAAAAGGCTAGAGCATGGCGCATCGATCTCAGAAGAACTATGTAAAGCCATTGAAGAGTCTCAAGTTGCCGTCATCATTTTCTCGAAGAACTATGCTTCATCCAGGTGGTGCTTGGATGAACTAGTGAAGATCATGGAGTGCAACACTAATCAATTTGGACGACAAACCTTGGTAATACCAATCTTCTATGATGTGGATCCATCAGCAGTTCGATATCAAAAGGAGAGTTTTGCTGAAGCCTTTGACAAACATGAGTCAAGGTGTAAAGTCGATGATGTTGAAGGAATGCGGAAGTTGCAAAGATGGAGGACTGCGCTAACTGCCGCAACAAATCTAAAAGGATATGACATCCGCCAAGGGTGAGTAAGAAAAATATTCCAATTGGTTCTTCAAGAATTTGATTTATGTACTTAATATTTTTATCATATTTATGCACGCTAACAATATGAAATACTTACTAATACTTGACTTTCTTGCATTTATCTACAATTATCTTCTTATTATGTAGGATTGAATCAGAGAATATTCTGCAAATTGTCGACCAAAGTTATTCCATATTATGCAAGAATACTTCTTGTATCTTCTTTGCGAGATGAATAATTTCCATTCAAATTTTGATGCTGCTGTGAAGACTAGACATATTCTACCATAGAACAAAGAATCTGTACCTTAAAAATGAGTTAAACTGAATCTACACTAAATAAATTTATCATTTTTACCAAAATATGGAAGGTGGAAATTAAATCAATTTACTTATGAGCTAAGAATACTGCATGCACAATCTAATATCCTTGGTTGCCATTTAGACGTTAACAATGTTTTATTTTATATTTTTCTATAAGAAAGAATGATGGTTGATTATATATGTTTCTATCAGTAAGAAGGCATAGTTCCTATCAGTTTAATTAGTCAATGCCATTGTTACACAGGTAATATTTTTATTGGTTCTTCAAGAGTTTGATTTATGTGCATACTCCTTTTATCATAATTATGCACTATACATTGTGAAATACTTCTTGTTCTTGACTTTCTTGTGTATATCAACAATCTTCTTATTTCCTGTAGGATTGAATCAGACTGTATTAATGAGATTGTTGACCAAATTTCGTCCAAGTTATGCAAGATTTCTTTATCTTATTTGCAAGATGTTGTGGGAATAAATATCCATCTCGAGAAAGTAAAGTCCCTACTCGATTTAGAAATCAATGATGTTCGGATTGTGGGAATCTGGGGCATGGGGGGAGTCGGTAAAACGACAATAACAAGAGCCATTTTTGATACACTCTCCTATCAATTTGGAGTTGCTTGTTTTCTTGCGGATGTTAAAGAAAATAAATGTGGGATGCATTCTTTGCAGAATATCCTTCTCTCTGAATTGTTAAGGGAAAAAGATAATTACGTGAATAACAAGGAGGACGGAAATCACCTGATGGCTCGTAGACTTCGTTTTAAGAAGGTTTTAGTTGTGCTTGATGACATAGATCACAAAGATCATTTGGATTACCTAGCAGGGGATCTTGGTTGGTTTGGCAATGGCAGTAGAATTATTGCGACAACTAGAGACAAACATTTGGTAGGGAAGAATGATCTAATATATGAAGTGACTACAATAGCTGATGATGAAGCTATTCAATTGTTCAATCAATATGCTTTCAAGAAAGAAGTTCCAAATGAGCATTTTGAGAAGCTAACGTTGGAGGTAGTAAGTCATGCTAAAGGCCTTCCTTTAGCCCTGAAAGTGTGGGGTTCTTTCTTACATAAGAGGGATATAACTGAGTGGAGAAGTGCTATAGAGCAAATGAAAAATAACTCTAATTCAGAAATTGTTGACAAACTCAAAATAAGCTATGATGGATTGGAGCCCATACAACAAGAGATATTTCTAGATATAGCATGCTTCTTACGAGGGGTAAGAAAAGATGAGATCATGCAAATTCTTGAGAGCTGTGATTTTGGAGCTGATATCGGATTGCGTGTCCTAATTGAAAAATCTCTTGTCTTCATCTCTGAAAAAGATACAATTGAAATGCATGACTTATTACAAGATATGGGTAAATATGTAGTGAACACACAAAAGGATCCAGGAGAGCGTAGCAGGTTATGGCTTGCTGAAGATTTTGAAGAAGTGATGATCAACAGTACGGTAAGTAGGCTAAACAATGCAATAATATTCAACTTCTAGTTTTCATATTCCAAAGACATATAGGGAGAATGCCAAGTTCCTCTTGCTTCATATTCTCACACATAAGTCGTGTTAGTTGTTTACTTTAGTAGGCGAAGCAAAAGTAAGTTTAATTGGCTAACTGACTAATTCGTCTAATAGGCACTTTATTAATGCTGCCTAATTCGTTTTTCTTATGTTATTAAGCCAATTTGTCTAGCAGCCACTGAATCTATCCAATTTCATTTTTTGGATTAACTTGAAATTTGTAATATATGTTGTACATTATAACTCAATCAAGAATTCACTTTAGCATTGATAATTTTTATATTTAAACATGTAACAAATAATTGGTACTATTTCAATTACAATTTTCTTCTATCACAGCATAAAAACTTTTATACTTGACTCCAAAGAACTTCTCAAAAAATGTGTTATTGGAAAGTAGAATTATAGAATTAATTGCACAAAATGTTTTTCTTAAGCAACATATTTCTTAAAAAATAATATTGTACCTTAGCTGTTTTTAATTGTGGTAGGTGCGTGTAAGCTGACCCCGAACACCACGGTTTTCCAAAAAAAAAGTTGTACCTTAGATTTTTTCTGTGGCGGTAGTTCTTCAAGAAATTCAAGTGCAATAATAAATACTAACATGACAAAATTTGGCACAACAAGAATTGAGAAAGTAGTCATATTGGCAACCAGAATTTACATAACATTTGAAGTTATACTTTGTAGACTAATGATCTTTTTACCAGGGGACCAAGGCAATAGAAGCAATCTGGATTCTTTATTTTAAAAAACTATGCTTTAACAAAGAGGCCATGAAAAATATGAAACGACTTCGGATATTGTACATATGTTCTGTCAATCGCCATGATGGCTCCGTCGAGTACTTGCCCAATAGCTTGCGTTGGTTTGTCTGGAAGCACTATCCTTGGGAGTCATTGCCAGAAAATTTTGAACCCAAAAGGCTTGTTCATCTTGATCTCTGGTCCAGTTCACTGCGTCATTTATGGACGGGAAGAAAGGTACATGCTGAATTCTATTTTTCTCCTTTTTCCCTCTAACTGTTTTCTTTAATATAGTGATATTGAGCAAATATTATCGCTTTTTTTTATTTGAGATACTTTCCATTTAGCTTGTCCAAGGATTATGATGCAACAACAACATACCCGTGATCCCACAAGTGAGGTCTGGAGAAGGTGGTGTGTGCACATACCTTACCCCTACTTGTGTGAGGTAGAGAAGCTGTTTTTGATAGACCCTTGGCTCAAGAAAAATATTTTTAGAACGAATTTGAAAAATACTAGAGAAAAAAGCTAAAATGAAAATACTGAAGAAAAAAAAAATAATGACAGCAAAAATAGTTACGGTATTCGAAGTAAAAGAAACAACAATAGTAATATAATTATAATAAAAGCAGATAAGGTGTTCTAAACTAGAACCATACTCTCCCACATAAAAGAGAGAAATCGTTCGACTACCTACTAACTTTCTACCCTAATCCTTAACCTCCATGCTCTTCAATCCAGGGTCATATCTTCGGTGAGCTGAAGATGTGTCATGTCCTGTCTAATCACTTCTCCTCGGCAATTCTTCCTCGATCTACCTCTTCTTAGAGCTATCACTGGGGCATTTATGCTCCCCCTCGTCACATGCCCGAACCATCTCAGCCTCGCTTCCCGCATCTTGTCCACCACAGAGGCCACTCATCTTGCTCCATATATCTTTACTCCTAATCTTATCTCTCTTAGTATTGCTCCACACATCTATTTAAGCATCCTCATTTCGGCTACTTTCATCATTTGAACGTGTGAGTTTTTGACTGGCCAACACTCTGCCGCATATAGCATAGTTGGTCTAACCACCACTCCATAGAATTCACCTTTTAAGTGTTAGTGTCACATTCTTATCATGATGCATGTCCTTAAATGAAAAAGTTACTCCATCTGTGCCATTTCATATGGCATACTTTTAATTTTAGTTTGTCTAAAAAAGAATGACACTTTTTATGTAGAAATAATTTTACTTTAATTTTTTATTTTACCGTTAATGAGATGATTTATAGCCACACATTAATGGTTTGTTTTAGATTACAAGTTTTAAAAGTATTTCTTTCTTTCTTTCTTAAAATTTGTGCCTAATCAAACACGCCGCATAAATTGGGATGAAGAGAGTAATTAGAAAAACTCAAATTGATGTGTTATTTTGGGGTTGTTCTCCGAGTATTATAATATCTTTTTCTCAGATCTTTTTTGAGAAGGATTTTTTCCAGATCTTCTTATCATCATTTTAACTAAAAAGCTCAATTTAAAAACTCATTCAAACATTTTCCTATATATATATATATATATATATATATATATATATATATATATATATATATATATATATATATATATATGCCTTAGGTGTCAATAGGAAACCAGGTTGGTGGAACAAAAGTTAGGCTAATTTTAGGAGATCGCGAACATTCGGTACGTCCCAATTCACTCCCCTCTTGAGTCGTAGAGGTGCACCCAAACTAATAAAAGCTGTCTAAATGAAAAGTAGCTGTAACTTTAAGGCTGTATATGCATTTGGCCAAATAATTGCTAGATTCACAGATAGCCCACTAGGCATGACTTTTACTATTGAAATCCTGAGCAGCACCATATTTTTATGATGATTCTTTTACCTGATTGTTCTTGTTTGTCTATATCATTCTTTCTATGTTCTGAACAGCATTTGAAGTATCTACGGAAGCTACATCTCAGCGTCTCTACAAGCCTGATATGCACACCAGATTTCACGGGGATGCCAAATTTGGAGTATTTGGATCTGGAGAAATGTAGTAATCTTGAAGAGGTTCACCATTCCCTGGGATGTTCCAGAAAACTCATTCGGTTGAATTTGAATTATTGTAGACGTCTTAAGAAGTTTCCATGTGTGAACGTGGAATCTCTCAAATATCTCTATCTACATGATTGCTGTAGTTTAGAAAAGTTTCCGGAAATCGTAGGAAGAATGAAGCTGGAGTTAGAGATTGACATGGGATACTCTGGGATAAGGGAAATACCATCATATATTCAGTTACAAACTCATATTACCAAACTAAATTTGAGCTGTTTAGAAGACCTTGTAGCTCTTCCAAGCTGCATAGGTATGTTGAAAAGCTTGGTGAAGCTAGATGTGTCGGATTGCCCAAAACTTGAAACATTGCCAGAAGAGATAGGGGATTTAGAAAACTTGGAGAAGCTTGATGCCAGACGTACTCTAATTTCACGACCTCCGTCTTCAATTGTGCGCTTGGACAAACTTAAATTCCTGAGTTTTGGACAGTTAGAATCAGAAGAAGGCCAAGTTGCAGGTTACTTTGTGTTCCCTCCGGTGAACAGAGGGTTACGCTCATTGGAAGATCTGGATCTCAGTTTTTGCAATGTAATAGACGGAGGACTTCCAGAAGACATTGGATGCTTATCCTCTTTGAAAGCGTTGTATCTCAGGGGAAATAATTTTGAACATTTGCCTCCAAGTATAGCCCAACTTGGTGCTCTTCGATCCTTGGACTTAACAAATTGCAAGAGGCTAAAAGAGTTGCCAGATTTCGTAGGGATGCCAAATTTGGACACTTTGAATCTGTCAAATTGTCTAAATCTTGAAGAGGTTCATCATTCCCTAGGATTTTTTAGAAAGCTCTGTACATTAGAATTGACTAATTGTAAACGCCTTAAGAGGTTTCCAGCTCTGTGCATCGATTCTCTTAAATATCTGTGTCTATATGAGTGCTCCAATTTAGAAAGTTTTCCAGAAATCCTGGGAAGCATGGAGTTAGAAATTCACATGCTCGACAGCGTGACAAGGGATCTAGATTTGAGAGGTTTAGAAAACCTTGTAACACTTCCCAGCAGCATTTGTAAGTTGAAAAGTTTAGTTAATCTAGATGTATCAGGTTGCTCAAAGCTTGTTAGCTTTCCAGAAGCTATAGGGAATTTACAAAACTTGGAGCGGCTTGATGCCAGAGATACTCTAATCTCACAACCTCCATGTTCTATTGTCCGGTTGAACAAGCTTAGATTCTTGAGCTTCGCAAAACAAAAATCAGAAGTAGGCCTCGAAGATGAAGTGAACTTTGTGTTCCCTCCGGTGGCTGAAGGATTACATTCATTGGAAATTTTGAATCTCAGTTACTGTAATCTAATAGATGGAGGACTTCCAGAAGACATTGGATGCTTATCCTCTTTGGAAGTATTGTATCTCAGGGGAAATAATTTTGAGCATTTGCCTAGAAGCATAGCCCAACTTGGTGCGCTTCGATCCTTGTATTTAACAGTGTGCAGGAGTCTTACACAGCTGCCAGAACTTCCACCTGATTTAGATGAATTGCATGCAGATTGTCATATGGTTCTGAAAAGTATTCATAATTTAGCAACCAAGAAGAAGAAATTACAGCGGCTGATATTCACACCACTGCACGATAAGGATGATGCATACAACGATTCGATCTATAATTTGTTTGCACATAGCCTGTTTCAGAATATCGCTTCCTTGCAGCATGACATCTCTGCTTCAGATTCCTTGTCACAGAGAGTTTTTACCATTGAGCATCCTGGGAAGAAGATCCCAAGTTGGTTTCGCTATCACGGAATTGATACAAGTGTATCAGTCAATTTGCCTGAAAATTGGTATGTACATGATAACTTCTTGGGATTTGCAGTATGTTACTCTGGCAGCCTAATTGAAACCACAGCTCAATTGATTCCCTTATGTAATGATGAGATGTCGTGGATGACCCAGAAACTTGCCTTATGCAACCATTCAAAGTATGATACAGAATCAACTATTCAACTTTTCCTTGTAACTCTTGCTGGCTTATGGGATACATCTAAGGCAAATGGAAAAACACCAAATGACTATGGACTTATTAGGCTACTTTTTTGTGGAGAAATGAAGGAGTTTGGACTTCGTTTGTTGTATAAAGATGAAACTGAGCTTCAGGCCTTGTTACAAATGAGGGAAAATAATGATGAACCAACAGAACAATGCATTGGGATAAGGACGGGCAGATATGACAATAGTGAACACCATGATTCCATGATAAATGAAGCCAGTTGCTCCTCTTGTAAGAAACAAAGGTCACATTCTACTTTCCGTGGGAGAGTGGCCAGTGTCTTCAGAAACTTTACAGCTCTTTCTTGTAAACCCAGGGATTTAGCTTAAAATATACTCGTAGGTATCTACCTCATGACTTGGTTTCTTATATAATTCTCTCCTTCTATTAGCTATTAAGTCTTCTTCCAAAACTAATAGATTATTTTCCTCACATTCTTTCTTTTTTCCTTTTTGTTTTGTTTCTTCTTTCCCCCTTGACAGGAGCTCATCAATGGGTGATGTACATATCAACACTGAGTTTTGTCAATTGATTCTCCATCTTGTCTCCGCTTGTGCTGACCCATGATTTACCATGGTGAGTTAAGGATATGAACAAGTTTAAATTTTCGATACTCCAATCAGATCCTGGAATCATGCGATCATAATTCAATTCTTACCTTAAAGTACTCGCAAAATCAGGATTTTGAACATGAAAATTAGTAAACTCTAACATGAAAAGTTAGTACTATAAACTAAGGGAAATTACGATGGAGTAATAGCCACTATTTAAGTTATGGAGGCCAAAGAGTTAATCTGCCATTTTGAAAAGATTTCAGAAGTGCAGGCAAGACTAATATAGTGACAGAAAAATGATAATCCATGACGTTCCACAGGCTTTTCCTATCAAAGTGAGTGATCATAACAACTTAGATTCGATGCCCTAAAAAGTTATGTTTAACCATGCTCAAGGTTTCTTTTGGTCAATAGACAAAACTGCCTATCTTCAAATCTTGCATTGGACACAAATGTTAGCCCTTGAAGTTCTATGCTATACTCAAAATTTGTTCTTTGACTTGTTCATTTACGGTGGTTCCTCCTTTTACAGTTTGATTGGCTTTGCTGTGTGATGTTTGAGCATCAATCCCTATAGTTGGAAAAAATTTGCATAGTTCTCAACTTAATTTGTACCTCAAGATTCATCAAGCAAGGGAAACATTCTCCTCTATCTGGTCATCTCCATTCCCCCAAGTAGAGCATCAATCCAAGATTGAGAGTCTGGGGGTCCGGGGGGGGGGGGGGGGGGGTTCCAGGAACGTTTCGTACTTTTCC